AAGAGAGGGTTCGAGCACCGAAACATTTTGTTTATTATCCTGAGAGTTCGGACTCGTGCAAGAGTCCATCGTCAGAGATAGCAGCAGCAACAGAACAAGCGACAGTTAAAGGGCATGTAGGCCAATCATCGACCAACGACGCAAGACTGGAGGTAACTGCACAGGGCTCCATACACCAGCTCCATATCGATAAATCGATTGACTGAGTTCTCGTCCGAGGCCCAGGCTTCAATCAATTCTTGGCCTATTTTATTTCCGGCGTGGACGACTATTTTGGTGGCTGCGAAGTTAAGCCTGTGACACATTTCGTAGGGGTCGGCGGTGACTTGTGATAATGCGTTGCCTCGTCGCACAGCCAGCTTATGTTCGTGTTTGTGCGATCCGAGCATGCGTCCATTCTGGCCTGTGAGGTTACAAGGACAGTTTTTACACAGGATGCGATATACCACTTCAGGTTGCTCTTCAGGCTTTAACCGGTCGTTAATTTTCATGACTCCATTGCGCATGGTGGCTTTGGGGAGGTTTGCAATTCCATCACCTAACTCCGCAGCAATACGCTCGGTCGCTCCTGAAAAGCCCTTGATATTTGGCAGAGAATGCCATATCGTCGGTGGTGTTGTTGTTTGAGTCCCCTGGGGGCGACCGCGTAGACAGCGACTTATGAATGCGTTTGGATAGCCATTTTACACGAGCTGTTCATGGAGATAACGGGCCTCACGTACTCTGTCAATCACCTCTCCCAATCTCAGCATAATTTTGTGGTCTGGCTCAGATTATTATCCGGTACATAGAAAAGGGCAGAGAGTGTTGGGTCGATTCACAGCGCATATTACTTATTCTAGACAAGCTGACACGCTGGAGACTATCCCACTAGGTTAGAAGTCGTTGCTGAAAAGATTGCCAACTGCCAGTCTCACCCAGGCATTGAAGTTATTCCAGTGTGTATTTGTGTCGAGTAGCCGATTATTGACCATAAGTCCGACTGCGATGACCCCTGCATAATGCGGCCTCAAAGGCAATCTCACTCAGTTATGATCCAGTCTCTCCCCCCTTTTCCTATCACGTGAAGTCCTTGTCGTTTTTGTATGGGACCAGGGGATGTTGTGGCGCGCATAGATGCGGGTTCTTGTCTCGCCAACCACCTGCACCCTCTCCCACCTCCAGTCTTTTTGACTGGGTCATGACAATGGCCCGGGCGGGTAAGGAAAAAGTGCAGTAGACGTTGCGCAAGTCAAATGTCATCATAAACGAAGTCAGGCGCAAGTCACCGTCACTGCCCCCACCCTGCTGTGAGACACATTGCGGACATTGTCGCAACCAACGGTTTAATCAGGCCCTCCAACTACCATGTCCCGTGCCGGGCGCAACATACTCCTACCGACCACATCGCGTCACAAACAAAAAGCATAACACATCCTAATGAAACCCTTACCCCACGCCCTGACCTCAGAACGGAGTCCTTGTTTCTTAGCTTTCTTTGGTAAGTTCGGGCAACCCCCAAACAACCTCTCCCGTCCTTGAAATTGGTGTTTTTGCGTGCATTTTTGTTGTGGCCTGGTAATGAATGCTTAACCTCTTATGAAAATATAAATTCTATGTGGCTAGTTGTGCCGAGGCGCCAGACTATCTTGCCTTTCCCTACCTGTTCCTCATTCTTGAACTTACTGGTTGTTTAACTGAATGGAATGAACACAACTCGACGCGACGCGCTTGGCATGAGAGGGATTGTCAGGTCGTTTGACTTTTGATTATTAATTCTTCCATAACTCTGGTCTTATCCTGATTTTTATAGTCTGGGATTGACGGTTCTGTCTTTAACACTCGCTACAGTGGTGACCCTTTGACGTTCACGCTTATACCTTCAATTAGTCGACTTCCAATTTGCATACCGCCCGTTTGACTTCTTTCTTTCTACAATCATGTCCTCTACAAATTCCAATGATCCCACTTCTTCTCTTAGTGGACTTGTTTCTTCCCTCCCAGACTTTTGGCAACATGCGCCAGAGCTTTATTTTTTCCGTATTGAGGCGACTTTTCACTCCGCCAAGATAACACGTGAAACCGACAAGTCTTATAAGCTGGTCGAGGCCCTCCCTCCCACCATTCTTTCCCAAGTGCAGACGCTTCTGAGAGATCCCCCGACTGATGCTCCTTACACTAAGTTAAAGGCTGAACTTCTTCGCCTGACATCAGTCTCCGATCGGCAGCGTTATCACGCACTGGTAAAAGAGGAGGCCTTAGGTGATCGCAAGCCGTCGGAACTCTTGCGTCGCATGCGTTCTCTGGTTGGGAACATGAAAATCGACGACAAGTTCTTTAAAGGGATGTTCTTAGAACGTCTGCCGACGTCTGTACAAACAATCTTGGCCTCTGGCTCCGACGACCTAGAAATATCAAAGTTAGCGGAGATGGCTGACCGTATGATGGAGGTTGAGCGTTTGGCATCCCCGACGATTGCTCAGGTGTCTCAGCCTCTCAACGTGTCCACCTCTGACCTTGCTGAACTAAAGACGCAGATTGCCCAGTTGTCAGCGACTGTTGCCGCTTTGCAGCTGCGCCGATCCCCCGGTCCCTCTCGACGTCCCTTCGGTCGTGACCGTCGTCGTTCCCGCTCTCGCCCCAGGACCGCCAACCTATGTTGGTATCATGTCAACTATGGCGATAAGGCGCGGCGCTGTGTCCCACCCTGCTCCTTCAAGTCCACGCAGGGAAACTCCTCGGCCGGAGAGTAAACGCGGCCGAGCTCTCTGGCAACTCTACGGGTCGCACATTTTACGTGAGTGATAACACGAGTGGCAGGCATTTTTTAGTCGACACTGGCGCTCAGATTAGTGTTATCCCTCCCACGCCAGCCCAAACCATGGTCTTTACCTTCAGGCCGTAAACTCATCCCCCATTACAACCTTTGGATTTCGATCCCTCTCCCTGGATATCGGCCTCCGGCGATTATTCCCCTGGATATTTGTGGTTGCTGATGTTCCCACTGCTATCCTTGGTGCTGATTTTTTGGCCGCCTTTGACCTTCTGGTGGATTGCAGACAACTTCGCCTCCATGATCGCGCAACTACCCTCACTGTCAAAGGATTTCCTCCATCCTCAGTTTCTAA